AGATCAAGAAATTTCTTGTCTTGGAACTTCTTTTTCAAATCAAAGTTTAGACAACTTTGAGCGATTTTGATAAATTCCTTTTCGGGCAAAGGTACAAAACATTTACTTCTTGCTGTCTTGAACCTTTGAAGGAAACCTTCTGCCCATTCGTTTGACATTTGACGTAGATTCACCAAATCCGCTAAAGTAACTTTGGACTCAATCTTATAAAACTGAGCGTGGAACAATTGCTCCAATTGTTGCCATGTTTGAACAGAGTTCGTTGGCAAATTGATGAACCAGGAGAAAGCTACTCCTATTAATGAACTAGGGAACAACCTCATTTTATGGTAATCAGTTACGTCACCACTTTGTAGTGTGAATCACCCTATGTGTTCTAGAGTAGACACCTCTCCTAAACTGGTAAATAGCGAGAATTCTGGCACTTTATATCCTCTAGGCCATGGATATGCTTTGTCTACCCAATCAAGATATGGCTTTGTGTAAGTCGGCCTGATGACAGGACGTATCTCAAAAGCCATCTAATCCTGTACTATTTCCATAATTTGATTCCTCAACATGACGTTAGGGTCATATGGAATTCCTACAGGTTGGTTGACCGGTTGATTTGCTTGAGGCCTGATATTTGGTCCTTGGTTGGCAACAAAGTTGCCATGATTTGGGCTATTATTACCATTAGCCTGAATATTTATTCCATCATTAACACGTGGGGCATTCCGTCCATTATTTAGGACATTATCTTTTACGTTTAGGTTACCCCCAAGTTAGATGTACCATTGCCACTATTCTGATTTGGCATTACACCATCCCCTGGTTTGAAGTAGAGGGACCAAAAGATGGTTCTACCCCTTGATTTGGACTTAGGACTGGGGGATATGTCCCACAATTGTCCTAATTTGAAAATGATTTGCAAGAGGCACAATTGACTGACAAATTTGGCCTACCCACTTATTCATTATTTCGTTCAAAGTATTCAGTTGTTTGGCCATGTTGTCATAATGTGCATTCCCATTTTGGGTAAATCTTTCCATATTATGAATATTTCGTAGATTTACCTGTTCAACGACATCCTATGTGAGTTCTCCAAGTAATGCACGCATGATTCGAGGACTCAACTCTGTCATTGATTCGTAACGACTGTGACTGTTCTGACTCTATCCATCTGTTCGTGAAGAGCTATGCTGCTCCTCATATCGCTCGATCACAGACTGGACTCCTCACTGACTTGCTTCCTTATTAGATTTCTGAGGCATATTGTTTCACCTTTTGTATCTTCAACACCAAATACCAAGGTCCCACTGGGCGTGCCAAATTGTTTCGCACGGGTAGTCGTTAAAAATTAAAAAGAAAATCAGACGATTGTGTAAGGAACAAACCTCTTGAGACAAAGTCCCAAAAAGGGGTGTTTTATTGGCGATGAATTTACAATTGGAACTAAACAGAATGCTTCCAAGGGGCGCAAGCACACGAGTACTGAAAAGAAATGTTTAAGTTTAAACTAAGAAATTGAAATTACATATTTTCTGTTTGAGAGTGTTTGATTCGGGGTCCTTTGCTCTATGTCTTCTCTTCCTTTTATATTCCCTTGATGATTTCTTCGTAATCAACCGCTTAGAAACTGCTTGATTGCTTTATAATTACCCACTTTCTTTATGTTTGCTAAGATCCTGGGCGATTCAAAGGTTTGGACAAGAACAGGGTCATAGCTCTGGGCAACTGTAAGACACTTCATTCGCTCAGATCTTGGGCGTCTTGCAAGCTTGGGTGATGATATTACCGTATTCGTGGGCTTCCACTGCATTCATTAATAACCCAATCTGGACCTTTATCCTGAACTGCCCAGTTGGGCTTCATTGTTCGGGCTATTTGATTTGGGAATTCCCCAATTAGGTTTCATTCCTTGGGCTATTCGATTTTGACTGCACTTTTAGTGTGTCAACAGAAGTCTATAGTGTTATGCGACTATTCAAATGCTAAATAAAATTTGAAATTTTTAATTAACAATGATCTGACGGGTTATTTGAGTTTGGTTCAAAGGATTTTTTTTAATATATATAAATATTCATTTTTATTTTATTTATTTTTGGTTGCATCGATTGTAGACTGGTCTAATAGAGCGGTATTGGACCATTTTTTTTTTCTTTTTTTGAAATTTTATAACATATTATTATTCAGTTATGCTTGTGACTTAATGGTCAAGTTTAATTCTTTCATGCTGTATATTTATAACCACATTCATCACCCTTCGTCCGTGAGATGATCAGCTTATGATTAACGCATATTTGTCGTTATTAATATTGATTATATGTACGATAAATAACTAACAGAAAGGAGTATGTGTCATTCTTCTTAACAAGAATATCTTATGTAAATTTTGTAAGTCGAACTCCATATCTTAATATATGTTTTTATGGGATGCAACATAAGCACCCTCAGTGGAAAGAATTATCTTCACTAGAAAATTTCAATGAAAGAGAAGTTAATTTGACTTTTAGAAGAACGGGATAAATTTAGAGAAGCAGTTATTGAGCACACGTGAAATTTAGCAATCACATGTGCTAAACTTAGCTTTTGTTTGAATTTATATGTAAAATTATTTTATTAAAAAAAGATGTAACTAAAAATAAATTTTGGAAGAAATGAGTTTTGAGAAAATGGAGTTCAATCAAAGAAATTTCTATTTGTATAGAATTTCAGTTCACAGAATTTTGCCGAAATAGACACGTGTGTGGACCCCATGTATGACAAAAAAATGCCAAAAAAATATCACCCACCCATGCCCACGTGAGTTGTCTGAAAAAATTCTGTGACTTACCGTTAAGCACTAGTCTTTAGTGACTTATGTGCAATTACGTCATGCTATAATTATGAGGATGAAAGAAGCACATATTTCACAACCCAAAGACTAAAGAGCGAGGAAAATTGTAGTACAACTTTCAACCTAGTCATGTAATAACAAATAGGTCCCCATTCTATTTTTCTAATCATTTTAGTCCCTTATTTTTAAAGTTATGTAACACCATAGTTCCTAGTTAACAAAAATGAAGAAAATCTCATATATCACATTTCCTAATGGACCACACCACATGCAACTGATTTCAACCACCCAACCTTTGCAACCATTGCCGCTAAAACAATTAAGTACAAGTTTGATAGAGATTTTTTGAGAATATATTTTGTAAATATGATTTTTTTTTTTTAAGAATGTGTGATTAAAAAGTAGGAAACAACTATGGATCAACCTGTAATATTATTTTATTGAAAGAATTTGAAGAAAAATAAATCTTAGAAAATGAAGACAAAACATGACCTAAATGATATTGGGTATGTTGCCACTCTTTTACAGGGAGATTCAAGGAAAAAAATGGTTGAATTTGAATGATTTTTGCCACATATAAATCGAACTATTTAAAACGATTATATATTTTATATTTGTCTGTCAAGTAAGCAATCAATAAATTTTCACTTGAATACAACAAAGAGATGCAATTACTTCATAGAACAATAAACTAATATCTCTCTTTCACCCCTTTTTTTTTTTTTTTTTTGTAGATATTAACTACTAAGGGCCTGTTTGATTCGGTCAATTTTTCATGGAAAATGGAAATTTTTTTCCACCTTTTCATTATTTGATTGCAAAAATTTTCTTGGCAATTCATTTTCCTCCCCCCTCACGTGACCCATTTTCCTTGGTTTTGTGGAAAAACAATTCCCATGGGTTTCGTGGGAAATCAGTTTTCGACCTTTTTTTAAAAAATATTTTTTTGGGCAATGGAAATAAATTTTATCCACAATTGTAACAAATTTTATCCATTTAATAGATAATTTTCACGAAATACAAAGTCAAACGAACACCGAAAGATCTAAAATTTCAACATTTTTTAGGTGAAAAATTATACCAATCAAATACATTTAATTGACAATTCCCAATAAAAAAAATGTTCCAGGAAATTGACGTTTTCTTTCTACCTAAATTTCATTCATGCAATCAAACGGACCATTTGTAGCAAGACAGATGTTAACACGTTTTTAATTAAATTTGTGGAATTCAAATGCAAAATGAGGTGTGAAAATAAACTACAAGACGACAATACTTAATGAAAGCGCCTCCCAAATGCACAAGGATAATACCATTTTCCATTTTTTCCTAGAATATTAATATAATATTTGAAACTCATATGTTCTTCAATTCTCAAGAAATTAATAGAAAAGAAGGACAAAAATGTAATATCAATAAAAGAACCACGTGAGCATGCGAAGAAGTTCAATTAACTTAAGAAAATCCAATAAACTTTATTTTCTGATAAAATTATTATGCATTTATTGACTAATAATTGTTCGGGATGGAAGAAGAAGAAGAATCAAAATAGCAAGTAAATAAATGAGGAAGGTGTAACGATATAATTATAATTCATTGCTTATAAAATAATTGCTTTGTGGCTTTGAATCTTAGTGCCTGTTTGATTTAGATTAAAATGTGATTTTAATATAAATTAAAGTCAAATAATTAATATTAACCACATATCTCACAATTTTTCAACCATATATTTCAAAAACTTCTATCTCAATCTTCTAAAAAATCTAATTTTAATCCCCATCAAACACTTTTTTAATAGATTGAAATAGTGAAAATAGTGGTGTTTAGTTTAAATTGCTTTCAGTTTTCAAGCAGCTTCCTGAACTCTCAAACTTAGGATTTGATTTCTTCTTTCCTAATTATATTAATGGTTCAATTCGATTTTAAATGATAAACCTAAACATTCATGGGTCTATGTAGACCCAAATCAATGATCTGAAAATAACAATTTCAGTTTGATTTTGTAATTTGAGGTTTTTAAATGTCAAGAAAATATATTAGAGACTAATTTGCTAATAAGGCAATAGATTGAAGACAAATACTGCAATTTTCTCCAAAAAAAAAATAAAATAGAATAATAATTTAGGACTTCAGCTATAAATTCACTGCCTTCGCTAACACTTACCATGCAGCATAGCACAGAACTAATTGAGAGGGCTTGTTTGGGTGTTCTTAAAAGCATTTTAAAAGTACTTTTTGGGCAGTATCACCCGAGCCTGCACGGAATAATCAGCATTCACAGCATTTCTATATATGATCAAGTATTGAAAGTACTATAGCTGATCAGCTGTCACGTGCACAATGTTGAATTGTTATAAAAAATTTACCATTTATGTAGAAATTAACACAACTGATACCAATTATCCGTAGAATACTGGTTTTCTTGATATCTTTCCAGGTCAACGGGTAGAAGAAGACTAAGGACGGATAAAGCAATGAGTTCGAGAAGTTATGAATCGGATCCAGATCCAGAACCGGCAAGGGCTGATCAGTCGGAGTTGTCTCGTGGAGGTTCGTGCGTATTCATGGACACTCATGTTTATAAACAAGCCAGCCACTGTTGAATATATATCATATATTTAATTTGGAGAAAATAATTAAATTGAGATAGCTGGCCGATATATGAAATTTATGTGAGGGGTCAATACTTCAAAACGACATACTTCAAGTAAGCAGACTTCTTTTATTTTGTATTACAATTATCTTATGGTTATTATTTATTTTAGTTATTCCAAATTTATATCTGTTAAAAACTAGTCAGCAAAATAAAATATTTAGAGACAGTTATATCCAGTAAAAACAAAATTGTTAGAGACACTTACGGAGTGATTTAAATTCTAAAGAGAATAATAAAACCTACAGTTTTTTATTTTATTTTACTAATTTTGAATTATCATTGTAAGTCACTTTTTTTGTGGGCTATATTATATACGCTTCATTCTCTGGGAAATTATACAAAAATTATATTGTGCACTTTATAAAAATTTTGGTTTATAATAATTTTGTTGAGATATAGTCTTGGAGTAAAACTTGAGAGTTCTGGACATCGCTTATTATTATTGAACAAGTGATTCGATCGTTGTATTGTGAGAGATTGTGCAAATAAATCACAGTAATTAACAATGAACAATTTCAGATTAAAATGTCGTACTGTCATGAATGAAATCTCGATCGATTGATAAGGTTTTTTTTTTTTAAATCATTATTCTAAAAAGGTAATTGCGACTAATTTTTCCACAATTACAACGCCAGAGGTTGTTCAGGCATCCATTGAGCTGCCAAGCATGCCTAGCCAAGTTGAAGTCAAAGTTGAAATTCCAATTTCCAATGTCAATGCCCAACAAGGTAAGTTTCTGTTTTTCTTTCTATATATATATATATATATATTCTTTTTCATTATTAGATCTTTGTGAGAGAATCGGAGTTTAGATTTGTCCCAAGGTTTCAGACAGAAAGGAAATAAAATTTTCATCTAAATATCATCTGTCAACCAATTTTGTGGAAATTCTGTTTCTACAAGGCTCATAATTACTCCTCTTACTACAGAACGCTTACCTAGCCAACGCTTAGATCCGGCTCTACCCAAACTTTTTTGGTTTTCCTTGACATTCCTCACTTGTCTGACTTTTGCTGAGCAATTTTTGGATATCAAATAGACCTCTCCAAGAGATAATTTTAATGTGGCCGATTACAAACACTTTTTGGATTTTAATAGCTGTTTTAAAAAGGTTTCTACAACTAATTTTTCTATAATTACAGCACCAGAGGTTGTCGAGGCATCCATTGTTGAGCAAACAACCATGCCTAGCCAAGTTGAAAGTCCAATTTCCAATGCCAATGCGCGACAATGTAAGTTTACCTACCTTATCCTGTGGCTTGCCACAAATCCGTAATGGGTGTTAAGACATAACGTATCTGTGCCTAAGTTATTTCTAGAGTCGATCAAATATATACTAAGTGCATACCTCATCCTGTGGCTTGCCACAAATCCGTAATGGGTGTTAAGACATAACGTATATCTGTGCCTAAGTTATTTATGTAGGCAGTCACTTTAAACAATTACAAATTATATGATTTTCCGGCTGGAAATCCCGTTACCGTGGTTTCGAGAGGCCTACATTTTATTCAATGTAATTATTCAAATTATTTGAAAAGCTACTTGATGAAAAAGAAAGGAAAAAAAAAAAGTGTTTACGAAATTAGTTAGTAGTTCAATTCTGTAATTCAGAGCATGTTTGATAGATATTTTAATCCAATTAACATCAATTTTTTGACTATTATTTCACCATTCAGCCGTCATTTTTGAATTTTTCTCTCACAGGTAGGACTCACTTTATCTTTAAAGGTCAAAAAATCAATTAACAAAATCCTTACCAAACAAGCACTTCGTAAAGATGTTAACCCCTTACATTTTCTATCCAATAAAATTTATTCATATAGATAGAAACACCCAATACATGGATGGGTACAATGGTTTACAAGAAGACACCAAAACCCGAACCAAACACACGGGACAGCAACTGCACTGCATGCAGCGAATCGGGCTGCACTGCCAGCTCAGATGCACTGCACTAGGCTACATTCCACCCTTTTTTTTTTTTTTTTTTTTTTTTTTTTTTCCCCAAAAAATAATGAAATTAAGTAGAACAAAAACAAGAAAACAAAGATTTACTTGAAAACCCAAGACGAGAAAAAATCACAAGCAGAGAAGAAGAAATCACTATAATTAATAGGAATCGTGTTTACAAGATCCCATTGCTCTCAACTAAGATCTAAAACTCTCGAGACGTTGTATGTTATGTTATATGAATAATACATGCCGTTTCATATATATATATATATATATATATAAACCTTAGAAACCAAATTGTAAATGAATAGGAGTTCAAAACTTTTTAAAACGCGAAAACTCGGGAAACACTCAAACAACCAACAATATATCGCTTGAACGAACAGTAGGCCACAAGCGCGCAAACATCCTGTAGAACAATTTGATGGTAATGCTCAAGCGTCCAGCTAGCGAAAATGTGGCAATTTTCTTCTTGATTCATAATTTTGATCTCTCCAAGACCACTTCAAATACAACTTCAATACCCACTAGAATTTGGCTCGCACTACAATATTTTTTCCATCAAAATTTTCACTACTTTCCCTTCTTGAAAAGTATCCAAAAATATTCTTATCCTCGATGTTATGATTTGACCAAATTACAACAGTAATGAGATGGACATTGTTGCATTAGACTTTGCAATACAAAGTTGATGTGCTAGTAATATTAAGATTTGAAAATTGTGTACCAACGTAAGTGTACTTTGGGTTAATATGTGTTACATAGTTGTGGAGCATCTTCAGCTTTCAACACATCTGACAATAGTTCTCCCCAAACATCATCAGGGGAAGAAAGGAATAAGCTTTGTATATTGATATATAAAGCTGCTTCAAAAGGAGATTGGAATGAAGTTGATACTGCTCCGAGATCGAACAAATCTGCAGGTCGTCTTGAGATAACAGAAAGAGGAGAAAGGCCTCTTCACATAGCTGCTGCAAACAAGCAAACTGCGTTTGTCCATGACCTAGTCAAACAGTTGGACAAAGAAGACCTGAAATTGCCGAATAATTATGGAGATACAACTTTCTCTTTTGCAGCTATATCAGGGGTTGTAGAAATTGCCAAGGTGATGTATGAAAAAAATAATGCTCTGCCAACAATTCGAGACAAAAACCAATTGAGCCCAATTCAAAGGGCAGCTTCGATGGGAAAGAAAAAAATGGTTCAATATCTTTACGACATTACACCTGTTAATAAAGATTTCAAGGCCAAGGAGCGCATGGACATTCTTGTTGCATTGATCGACAGTGACATGTATGGTATGGAATCTCTGTTCATGACTATGGGCAAGATGACAATGAAAATTATGTTTGCAATAGTTTCAATATTGCTTTTCTTTAATGCAGATATCGCATTAAAAATATTGGAAGCGGATAGATATATAGTCAGAAGAACTCCAAAATCGACAAAAGGAAGTGCCCTACACGCGTTAGCTCGAAAACCTTTATCACACTATGGTACAAGTCAAGAATGGCTATGCGAAAGACTTGTTAGAATCGTCCCTCATATTCACTGTAAGAACATTCGATTTCATTTTTAACAATAAATTTAAAAAATCAAGCTTAATTTTCCTAAAAATTTCTAGTTGATAGCAAACATTTATGTATCTACACCTTTCCACTCATCTATGTACTTCCTAGTGTTTCTCTTTTGTTTTATTGTCTTCTGATGATTAATTAAGCAGGTTAAACAATCACAAAATTATCAGAACATAGATTATCCTATTTTTAAAAGTAAGGCCTAGCAAATGCTTGTCTCAAGCTTGAGCTTTATGTGTGAATGATCCACATATAGATCCATTTCACTTTTTTCTAAGATTCCCTTTTTATTTATTATTAATTTTTTTTTTGGGCCTTGTAGTTAACATGAATTTTAGAAATAATTTAGCAAAGATTTGTAGGTTTCAAAAGGATATATGGTTCAATTCAGAAGCGGAGACAAGCCATTCTTTTGGTAGAGAAGCTCTGTGAACAGATTCTGATTTTAGAAGGCTCGGAAATTTCAAACCTATTTAACGAAACTCCTATACTTACCGATGCTACAAAAATTGGGAATATTGAGTTTATGACTCTGCTTATTAGCTCATTTCCTGAACTTGTATGGAGAATCGACTCAGATAAGCACTCCATATTTCATGTTGCTGTTATTTACCGACAAGAGAAAGTCTTTAGTCTTATCCACCACACAAAAGCTATTAAAGATTTATTGATTCTCAAAACAGATAAAGAGAAAAACAACATTTTGCACTTAGCTGTGAAATTACCACCTTCGAGCAGACTCAATAGTGTATCTGGAGCAGCACTTCAAATGCAGAGCGAGTTACGGTGGTTTAAGGTGAGAAATTGACATGACTACCAAATCCCCTTTCCTTTTCCCCTCAAAGAGAAGAGGAACACTTCATAGCATGACAGTGAATTGTATCATTAATTTCTTAGTTATCTTGAATATACACGTGGATATGTATCCATGTTCTTAGAAGTCTCCAATCCACCATTCTACGTGATACAAAAATTAATTCCCCATGTTAGAGTTAAAATTTGGATGATTATGCAATTATATTAACTTGAGTAAACTTTAAAGGAGGTGGAGAAGATTCTACGGCCTTTGGATGTTCGGAATAAAAACAAACAAGGCAAAACACCTAGGGAGTTGTTTACGGAGGAGCATGAGAAGTTACGGAAAGCTGGTGAGAAGTGGATGAAGGACACAGCAACTTCTTGCATGGTTGTGGCAACCTTAATTGCCACAGTTGCACTGAATGCATCCTTTACCGTACCAGATGGGAATAAAGAAGCTCACAATAGGTGGTTCACAGTTTTTGTTACATCTAATGCGGTAGCAATGTTTAGCTCGGCAGCTTCCATAATGACGTTCTTGTCTATCTTAACTTCACGTTATGGAGAAGATGATTTTCTATATATATTACCGGTAAAGTTGATGGTTGGACTATTTACACTCTTCGCTTCAATCGTTTGCATGCTCTTAAAATTTAGTGCAACCTACTTTTTGGCCCACAAGGAAGAAAAACCAGGGATATCGCCTAAAATTGTTGCTGGTCTTGCTTTGCTTCCGATCACTTTATATGTAATGCTAAATTTTAGGTTATGGAATTCCCTAATCCGCTCAACAATCCAACCTTCAAGGTTTATGTCTTGACTGGGTAAGCACAGGCTATTCTAATAAAAGGAGCTCCGATACTAGTTGTCGTTACTAATAAAAGTGGAGAAACTTTATTGTTGCTTTGTTGTTGTTGTATTTTCCAATAAAAGGCTTCATTTTTCAAATGCAAAAGAAGTGGGAAGCTTTCTATTCTTATTAATTCGTCTTTTTTATTCTCCTCTATATATTTATATATAAATATCACAACTATCATTGCAATCCAAATTAAATCAAGTGCAGTATTCCACGAGTAACATCACAACTCACATGTATTAAAATGAAAAGACAAAAGAAATCACGAAGGAATTCATCAGGGTTAACATGGATTGATCCACTATTAATCAAAAAAGTGAAACGATGTCGATGCTGGCATGTTGAATTTCAATTGGCAAAAAATACTATAGGATTGCTTTGCAATACCAGGAGCACAAGGGAACCGACCGTACATGATACCCAAATCCATTAGGCGGTGTGTGGTTAGCCTCACCATATTCAATGCCCCCTGCCACTGTGTGGAATATTTTGGGATTGATTCTTTAACAATTTGTTGAGCATTGATTTCTCATTCATTCCAATGTCAATAGTAGTAGCTGTCTGACATAGTTATTGTAGGTCCAACATCATCTAGTGCTCTACTACCAATAGTAGTAAAGTTAATAAAGACACAATGAGAAATAATTGTTTTTCTCTTCCATACATTATTCTTAGAGTATTATGCCTCATACTACAATACAATTGTGAAGAAAAGGAAATAGTATTCTAACTTAAGAAAAAATTTCCTTACTTGGTTCTAATTATACCATACAATAATCCCACAATTCGTTTCAGAATTTCTACACTCTTCCTCAAGTTGGATTGTAGATATTAATCATATTCAACTTGCAGATGAAATCATTGAAAATTTGTCTTTGTAGCCCTCTGGTGAATAAATCTGCAGTTTATTCTTTGGTAGGACCGTAGATCATAGAGGTAGTTCCATTTTCAACTTTCTTCTTGACAAAGTGTTTGTCCACTTCTATGTTTTATCATGTTGAAGGGGGTTGAGTGAGATATTGATAGCTGCTTTGTTATCGCAATAGAGTTTAATTGGAAATTTTTTTGTAATTTGTAATTCTTCCAAGAGTTTCTTTAACTATAGTCTTTCACATATTCTTTGAGCAGTTGCTCTGAATTCTGCTTCAGCATTGTTTTTGGCTATTACATTCTGTTTTTTACTATTCCAACTAACCAAATTTTTACATACAAAAGTACAATAACAAGTAGTTGATCTTCTATTGCTCCTGCCCAATCTGCATCAGTGAATATTTCTATCTCCATTTTTTTCATTTTTCTGGAACAGTAGTCCTTTCTGGGGAGAGTCTAGATGAGCTTTCTTTGGAGAATGCATGTATTGGCTTGCCACAAATGCAATTTCAAGCCTAATGTGTACTAGGTAGATTAGTTTTCCAACTAGTCGCCAATATATATCCTTTTCAATTGATTCTTCAATGTTCTCAATTTTTCTTCCAGTATCCATAGGGGTGTTACTTGGTTTGCACCCAAGCATAACAATTTCAGTTAAGAGGTCCAGAACATATTTTCATTGTTAAATACTAATACCTTCTTTGATCTAGCTACTTTCATTCCTAGAATATATCACATTTGTCCTAGGTTTTCTTTTTTACTTAAAATTCTGTAGCTAGATCCCTTTTTAGTCTTTCTATCTCGACTGCATTATCTCCAATGAGGATTATGTCGTCAATTTATATGATCAGGATGATTTTTGTCCCATCTTCAAGTACTTTGATGAACATAGTATAATCTGACTGCCTTTATTGATATCTCTGGTTTTTCAACACGTTTGCAAATCTGTCAAACCGTGCCCTAGATGATTGTTTAAGGCCGTATAGAGATTTTCCTCATTTTGCATACTTTATTTTCTTCATTTTTCTTGGAGAATCCATGTGGTAACATCATGTAGACTTCTTTTTCCAACTTGCCATTCAAGTTGTTAGAGTAGCCAATCCAAGTTTGTTGCTAGTGATAGTTGAACCCGAAATGTATTCAATTATGTAATCGGTGTGAATGTTTTTGTGTAGTAAATGCCATACGTTTGAGTGCACCCCTTTGCAACCAAGCGAGCTTTGTACTGTTCTACTGTTCCGTCTGCTTTATACTTCACATTAAACACCCATTTGCACCCAACAAGTCTTTTCCTTTTTGGTAGGTTCATCACATCCCAAGTTTCATTTGTCTCCAAGGCTTTCATTTCATCAATAACTACCTTTCTGCACATGGAAATTTTCAAGGCTTCTTGAATATTTCTTGAAATTTCTATGTCGTCAAGGTTAGAGACAAAAGTTCAAAATCCTAAAGATAGAGCCTTATAAGAAACAACATATGAGATGGAGTAAAGAGTGCATGACCTAGTTTGTTTTCTGAGAGCAATAGGTAAATCAGTGTCATGTGATTTTGGAGAAAGCTCATTGGAGCTATCATTGGTTTCAATCTCTTGGTGCTTCAAGTGTGAGTTTGTCCTTATCCTTTAATTTTGGCTTTTTTGAGTAAACTATGATCTCTCTGTCATGTTGTTCTTTCTACTTTCCCCTTGAGTTCAAATTACCTTCCATAGATGGCATAGTAAGGCATAGTGGTGTTGTAGGTTTAGCATTCGAGATACATTCAAAGGAATGAAGAGAGCTTTCCAAGAATCGATCTTCACTTAGTTCTCTCCCTAAAGAGAGGATTTTTTAAAGTAAATGTTCTTGAAGAATGTAACATCAAGACCGATAAACACCTTTTTTTGTGAATAGATCATAACATTTACACCCCTTTGTGTAGGTGAGTATCCAATGAATATACACTTAAGTACACGGGGTGCGAGCTTATTTCGGCAATGAAAATGTATATGGACAAAGGCTGTACATCCAAACACTCTTAGATGGAGATCGGAGGTGAGATGGGAGTTAGGGAAGAGAAGGGAGTTTCGAATTTGAGTGTGCGACTAAGCATTCTATTTATGAGGTAGGCTGATATTAAAATGGCATTGCCCTAAAAATCTTGTTTATATAACTAGTGAACATTAGGGCACTGGCTACTTCAGGTAGGTCTACTTTTTCATTCGACAACTCCATTTTGTTGGGGTATATCGACGCATGAGCTTTGGATGATTATTCCATTTTCTTGGGCATAGGTTTTTAGCGTATTATTGAAATATTCCGTGTCATTATCTGTGCGTATAATTTGTATTTTTGTCTAGATTTGGATTTGAACGATAGAATGAAAATTTATAAACACAAAATGGACATCAATTTTTTTTCTTTTAGTATATAGACCAATAGATTCGAGTATGGTCGTCGATGAACATAAGAAACCATTTTGTGTGGGTGCGATTAGGGGTTCGTGATAGTTCCCATAAATCACTGTAGATGAAAGTAAATGTTTAGATGGTTTGTACATAGGTTTTGGAAATGAAGAGTGATGATGTTCTATGAGTTCGCAAATTTCCCAATTAAAATCAGAAGGTATTTTATTCGAAAATATTGAAGGAAATACATTCCTTAGATACTGAAAATTTGGATGATCCATTATATAATGCCATAAAAGAATTTACTATTCTTAGAAATAAAGGTAGAATCACAACTAACAAATCGACTTTCTTTACTCACGTAAGTCTTGTCAAAGTAGTACAATCCCTCACACTCTTCAGCACAGCCAATCATCTTCCTCGATGATAGGTCCTGAAAAATACAGTGAGAGAAAAAAAAAGTTAGTGAAGCAAGTTGAACTTTTTGTTAATTGGCCAATGGATAGCAGATTGTAGGATAGATTTGGGACAAGTAGAACATGTTCTAGTGTGATTGAATTAGAGATTCGAATACTCCATTTTTTAGCTACCGAATAGAGAGAGCCATCTTCAAATTCTGACTTTGAGATTACCAGTACAAGGTGAGTATCAAAAGGAATAAATGGTGGGAGTGCGTCATATGATCAGACACACCGGAGTCAATAATTCATAGTACTTTGGAGAGTGAGGTGGTGTTTAAAGCTCTTAAGAAATTACTTCTGTGGGCTAAGGTGCTTGACGAGCCAGATGACTGCAGGTTGGAAAACATTTTGTGGAGTTGTTCAGAATTAAACTCGGAGTAGAGATTTGTGTTTCAGTGGAATTGATTGTGGTTTGATAGCCGTGATTTCTGGTGTTCTGTCTTAGTTTCCAATTAGATGGTTTTCCGTGTAAATCTCAACACGTATATTTTTTATATCCAAGTTTTCGACGGTGATCACACCCGTTTGTTGTCTCGAGCTAGATCCAATTTTTTAAGTTCCTCCAAACATTTGGGCTCCCAAATCAGGCCCAATATATTTAGGCCCATCTTATAAATTTCTTTTAATTTTTATAGCTACAATTCTCGGCCCATGTTCAATCGGCCCAGTTGGCCCAATAAAGTTAGAAGAAAGGGTCGACCCATCAACCAAATCTTCAGACCCAGTTTCCTTCTTCAGCATAATCACTCGGCGACTCTTCTCTCACCTTACTTCTGCGAAGACGTCGTGTGTGGTAGGGATGGCCGACAGCCAAGTTTTCGGCCTCTCACATCATTTAGTTCCCTGTTCAACCCAACCAAGAATTCATACACTCGTTCATTCTCCACACTTTTCTTGTATCGAACACTGTCATTTGCACAATCCCACTGTTCGTCAATGCTGAGGTCCGATTCTTTCCAGAGGGTAGTCATCTCCATGTAATATTCAGTGACATCCCTTTCTCCTTGCTTGGCCTGCCACGTGTTAGTTTTAATTTTAAAGATTTGGGAAAAATGTTCCGTGTCGGAGTACATCTCTTGAGTGGCGTCTTATATATCCTTCCTAGTTGACATGAAGAGATAGATCTTGCCAATCGCCGGCTTCATCGAATTGACTAGCCGAGACATTACCACGGAGTTCTCTGATTTTCATTTTTGTTGAAGTTTTGCATCCATGGGCTTCTTTGTATCGCCGATAAGATATCCAATTTTTCCTTTCCCATTGATCACTAACTTAATTGATTAAGCCCATTCTCTGTAGTTTCGACTGTTGAGTTTTTCCACCGTGAGTTGGAAGGGGGAATTATCACTTCCAATTGAATTCATGGTATGGGTGACTT